TACAAGTCCAGGAAGCGCACAGAACTCCAAACAAAAGGAATCCAAAGAGGACCACACCAAGACAAATCATAATTAAAATTCCAAGAGCAAAAGACAAAGAGAGAATATTAAAAGCAGCAAGAGCAAAGCAGGTAGTTACCTATAAAGGAGCACCTATACGATTGTCAGCTGATTTGTCAACAGAAACCATGCAGGCCAGACGGGAATGGCAAGAAATATTCAAAGTGATGAATAGTAAGAACTTACAGCCAAAGATAATCTATCCAGCAAAGCTATCACTCAGAATCGAAGGTCAGATAAAGAGCTTCACTAATAAGCCGGCACTGGTTTGGCTCAGTGGATAGAGCGTCGGCCTGCGGACTGAAAGGTCCCGGGTTCGATTCCGGTCAAGGGCATGTACCTTGGTTGCGGGCACATCCCCCATGGGGGTGTGCAGGAGGCAGCTGGTCGATGATTCTCTCTCATCGACGTTTCTGGCTCTCTATCCCTCTCTCTTCCTCTCTGAAAAATCAATAAAATATATTTAAAAAAAAAAAAAAAAAGAGCTTCACTAATAAAAAAAGCTAAAGGAGTTTATCAACACCAAACCAGAATTATATGAATTGCTGAAGGGGGTTCTTTCAGAAGAGAAAGTAAACAAAGATAAAAATTATGAACAACAAATACGTAACTATCAACAAGTGAATCTAAAAACCAAGGAAATTAAAAAAAAAATCTGATGAACAATATTAACTGTTGAATATAATAGAATCAGAGGTATGGAAGGGGAGTGAACTGACGATTCTTGGGGGAAAGGGGAGAGGGGGATGTGGGAAGAGACTGAACATAAATTGTGCACCTATGAATAAGGACAATGGGGGGTGGGGAAAGGGCAGAGGGTGGGGTGGGAACCTGGTGGAGGAGAGCAATAAGGGGGGGGGGAGGGAAGGAACATTTGTAAAAATATGAACAATAAAAATTTATTTAAAAAAAAAACAACTATATAATCACCACCATAATTTAATTTTAGAACATTTCATCATCCCCAAAGTATCCCTTAGCAGTCATTCTTCGTTCCCCCCACTCACTCCCATTCCCCAGCCACAGGCAACCACTACAATATTTTCCATAGATTTGCCTATTTTGGATATTTCATATAAATAGGATTATACAAACATGCAATCTTTTGTGTCTGGCTTCTTTCACTTAGCCTAATGTTTTTGAGTTTCATCCATGTTGTCATAGCATGTGTCAGTACTTCATCTCTTTTTATTTTATTTTATTTATTTATTTTTAATCAATCTTTATTGTTCATATTGTTACAAAGGTTACTTCATCTCTTTTTATTACTGAATAATATTCCACTGTATGAAAGTACCAGATTTTATTTATCTGTTCATTAGCTGTTGTACATTCTGGGTTGTTTACACTTTTTAGTTTGTATGGATAAATCTGATATGAACATTCATAGAAATGTATAGTTACATGTTTTTTTGGGGGGTAGATACCTAATAATAGGATTGCCAAACCATATGACAACTGTATGTTTAACATTTTGAGAAACTGCAAAATTGTTTTCCAAAACCATAGCTCTATTTTGCATTTCCACCTGCAATGTATGAGGACTCCCAATTTTTCCACATCCTTGCCTGAACTTGTTACTGTCTGCCTTTTTTATTATAGGCATTCCAGTGGGTGTGGTGTCACATCATGGTTTTGATTTGCATTTCCTTAGTGACTAATATTGAGCTTATTGGCCATCTGTGAATCTTACTTGAAGAAATGCCCATTCAAATCTTTAATTGTTTTTTTTTTTAATTGATTTTTACAGAGAGAGGGTTAGAAACTTTGATGAGAAACATCAATCAGCTGCCTCCTGCACACCCTCTATTTGGGATCAAGCCTGCAACCAAGGTACATGCCCTTGACCAGAATAGAACCCAGAACCCTTTAGTCCACCAGCTGATGTCTATCCACTGAGCCAAACTGGCGAGGGCTATGGTTGGCGAACTGCAGCTCACAAGCCACATGCGGCTCTTTGGCCCCTTGAGTGTGGCTCTTCCACAAAATACCCTGGACTGGGCGAGTCTATTTTGAAGAAGTGGCGTTAGAAGAAGTTTTAAAAATTTGGCTCTCAAAAGAAATTTCAATCGTTGTGCTGTTGATATTTGGCTCTGTTGACTAATGAACTTGTTGACCTCTGGGCTAGGGCAATTGGGTTGTCTTTTAATTTCTGAGTTGTACGAGTTCTTTCTATGTTCTGAATACAAGTTTCTTATCAGATACATGATTTGCAATATTTTCTCCCAGTGTGTGGTTTCTTTTGACTTTTTGGATAGTTTCCTTTGAAGTACAAATATTTTTAATTTTGATAAAGCCTAACATCTCAATCTTCTGTTTTATTGTTTGTGCAATAATATCTTAACCTAGTATCATAAAGATTTACTCTTGTGTGTTTTTTCTAAGTTTTAACTCTTACCTATAGATATTAGATTCATTTTTAATTACTTTTATGATGTGTCCCCATTATGCTTTTTCCCCCCTTTTTTCTCCTATTATTTTTTTAATGTTTTTATTGATTTTTAGAGAGATAAGAAGGGAAAGAGAGAGAGAAACATCGATGAGAGAGAAACATCAATCAGCTGCCTTCTGCATACCCGCTTCTGGAGATTGAGCCTGCACCCGGGGCATGTGCCCTGGCTGTGAACTGAGCTGGCGATCTCCTTCCTGGTACACAGAGAACACTCAACCAGCTGAGCCACACCAGACAGGGCAGTAGAGTATTCTTGAAGAGAATGCACCACACTCATTTCTGACTTAGGCAATATGCTTTATTTCATATGGTCATGGATTTCTGGGCTTCTCTTAGCTCCCCTTTGTAAAAAATCTTCATATAGCCGAAACCGGTTTGGCTCAGTGGTAGAGCATTGGTCTGCGGACTGAGGGGTCCCAGGTTCGATTCCAGTCAAGGGCATGTACATTGGTTGCGGGCACATCCGCAGTAGGGGGTGTGCAAGAGGCAGCTGGTCGATGTTTCTCTCTCATCGACGTTTCTGGCTCTCTCTCTCTCTCCCTCTCTCCCTTCCTCTCTGTAAAAAATCAATAAAATATATATTTTTTAAATCTTCATATTCTAAACATTTACGTATATCTAACTACAACTTTATTAAATAAAGTTAGAGAATTAATACAGCTTTTGGCAGGAATTTGTTTTATTGTTGCTGACCACAAGCATGCAGAGTACCCACCAATCTCCTCACAGCAAATACTGTGAACAATCTGGGATTTCAGTTTTCAGACTTGTTTTCTAAATCTGCATGATTCTTTTATTATTTTTTTAAAAATATATTTTATTGATATTTTACAGAGAGGAAGAGAGAAGGATAGAGCGTTAGAAACATCGATGAGAGAGAATCATCAATCAGCTGTCTCTTACACACCCCTTACTGGGGATATGCCTGCAACTAAGGTACATGCCTTTGCCCGGAATCGAACCCGGGACCCTTCAGTCTGCAGGCAAACGCTCTATCCACTGAGTCAAACCGGTTTCGGCTTTTCTTTTTTTATTATTGATTTTTTTACAGAGAGGAAGGGAAAGGGAGAGTTAGAAACATTGATGAGAGACAAACATCAGTCAGCTGCCTCCTGCATACCCCCCACTGGGGATGTGCCCACAACCAAGGAACATGCCCTTGACCAGAATTAAACCTGGGACCCTTGAGTTCACAGGCCGACATTCTATCCACTGAGCCAAACCGGTTAGGCCTAAATCTGCATGATTCTTTTCTAAAGATTATGTTAATCAGAATATACTGGCATAAATTGTTTTAGAGTATACCTACACCAACAAATTTAGCTCAAATGTGTCTGGAAACCTGATATTTAATTTTCATCTCACTGGAAATCCCTTCAAAGTACATTCTATTCCATCCATTCTAACTTCACCTATTCACCCTCTTACCCTATCAAAGCTTGGACACATGGTGATAATTTTCATTAACTCCTCATGATATAATTTTTTTTTTTAATCCTCACCCAAGGATATTGTTCCCAGTGATCTTTAGAAAGAGAATGGAAGGGAGAGAGAAGGGGGAGAGAAAGAGAAACATTGATGAGAGAGAGTCACATGGACTAGCTGCCTCCCGCATGTACCCTGACCTGAGATCAAACCTGCAACCCAGGTACAAGCCCTTGACTGGAAATCAAACCTGCGACTATCCTTCTGAAGGCAACACTCTTAATCACTGAGGCAAACTGGCCAGGGCTCACAATATAATTCTAACAGACCATTTTTTAAAATATATATTTTATTGATTTTTTACAGAGAGGAAGAGAGAGGGATAAAGAGTTAGAAACATCGAGGAGAGATAAACATCGATCAGCTGCCACCTGCACACCCTCTACTAGGGACAAGCCTTCATCCAAGGTACATGCCCTTGACTGGAATCAAACCTGGGACCCTTCAGTCCACAGGCGGAAGCTCTATCCACTGAGCCAAACCGGTTAGGGCCTAACAGAACAATTTAATATTCTGTTTTGGTTCCTGCCCAGCAAGTCACAAAGTGTGTTATTTTACTGGAGCTAGCCCTGAAGAGTAAAGATAACCTATGAATGAATTCTTCCAATCTTCAATCTTGTATTTGGTTGGTAAGTCTCCATTTCTCTATGATACTTCTCTATGATACCACCACAGTTTTCTACCAGGGTCTGGCTGTGCATTATATGCCTTCTAATAACAAGGCTACTTAACTACTCTTTCGTTCTCTAAAATCAGACATCAATGATTTGGGAGAATGGAATGAAATTGTCACGTTTCGATCCAGTAGACATGTATTCTTTTCAGTACAAGGTACGAAACATACCTTTTACTTATCTCATCATTGCCCAGAAATCTGATTTGAAAAGCATCCTCAAACACTTCCTTTAGTTCATGCTCAGTGACCTTGCTAGGCAAGTTCTTGATCAAAAGTGTTTTGGCATTTCGATCTACATAAATAAAAAAGAATATTTTTAGCCTGTGCTTAGATCTCATAGGCATCAAAAGTTCTCTGAGAAAAAAAATATTTCACAAGAGTTGAAGAGAGGAAACAATGATGCCTACTCCTTCAAATATTTGAACTAAACAAATATTTGAACATATAGGTTGGGCGAGGGCCTATGCTTCATGCTGGCTGTGAAAATACAGGACTGTGGTCTTGTTGGGGAAAAACCAGTACATAAACAATCCCGTAATTACAAATTGTGCTAAGTGCCAGGAAAGAAAAGTAAAAGGGGAGATGAGAACATTTAGTGGAGAAGACAGCCTCATCTGGGGTAAGGGAAAGGATTCCGGATCTGAGGAAGTGACCTTTAAGCTGGATGGGCTACAGGTAGCCAGGGCATGAGTCCTGCAGTGAACATGTGACAGAGAAGATAAGGTAGAAAATGACAGACAGTAAGGTAAAGAACACTGTGACAGAGAAGGTGAGCCAGGCAGTTTGAGCACAGGGAATGAGAGCACGGCAGATCAAGTTGATACTTGGAAGTAGGAGACCTGTTGGTAACGGAGGAGCATGGAATAAGACAGAAGATGATATTCTTGCCTGATGCAGTCTTTTAGATAGGTATCTATAGACAAATTACCTTATTTACATACCTTTCTTTGTTTCCTTTCCCTTTGGTTTCTTCAATTTAATTTCATACCCAAGGACCTTTGTCTCACTGAGTTCCAGGGCTTTTTCCTGATCGTCAACAGATTTAAAATTCACATAACCAAATCTCCTACAGAGAGAAGAAGAAGAAAGGAAAACACACACACACACACACACACACACACACACACACACTGGTGAATTAGTATCAAGTAGAAATTAGTATCAAATAAAAAGCAGTTGCCGAATTTACAATTTCAAACCAAGGCTCCAACAACTGGCAATATCAGTGCCAGGGAGTCCCCAGAGAATAGTGGTTCTCACCAGTGAGTTTGGCAATATCTGGGGACATTTTTGGCTGTTATAACTGGGGGAGTGCTTCTATTATCTTGTAGGTAAAATCCAGGAAAGGGGCTAAACAGCTACAATGAACTTGACAGCCCACCACACAAAGGTCAACCATGCCAAGGTTGAGAAGCCCTGATCTAGAGCAAGGACTGATTTTCTGTTTAATAACTGACCAAATTTAACCAAAAGCTATAGAAAGCGAAGCTTAAAATGACAAGTTTTCGAACTTTTATTTTTAAGAAGCAGCCATCTGCATTTGTTTATTAGAACAAAAATATTATTCCTAATGTGGATTTGTTAACACTCAAGGGCTATTACAGTAATAACTTTTTGTTAATACAAAAGGAATCCTTACTTACTACAAATGCAACAATATTCCAAAAGATAGCTAACAAAAACTGGAAGAAGAGCCAGGGGACAGGCTCTGGAGCCAGAATGCTGGGCTCAAATCTTGGCTCTGCCCCTTTTTCGCTGTCATATTGGACATGCAGCATAACTTCTCTGAGCCTTAATCACCTCCTCTACAAAATGGGGATATGACAATAATCACCACAGAGGACTATCTTATGGAGTAAGTTACATAAATAAGAAACTAAGAGCAACACCTGGAACAGTGAGCACCCAGCAAATGTTTACTAGTATGATTACCTTTCATTTCTATCTGAGAAATTCTGAGTTCTACGAAACACGCTTACACCTAAGATATATGCTGTTGATGAGAAAGAAGTGAGAAAAGATGAAATTCAACTCAGCAAAAAAGAAGAACTGATGCAACTATATTTACCACCAAAGCTGGCGATTTTGTGATTAAATTTGTGACGTGGCTAAAATAATTCTAGGCAAATAACATTGCTCACAGTTGGAAAATCATGAAAATATGTTTCTGTCAAGACTCGGAAGATCTTGGGATTATTTTAATGCTTTGGTTGGGAAAATTGGATAGCAAAGTTTAATCTTATAAGTTTAACAAACGAGCCACTAAAGGGTTTTAGATACTCATTTTGAACTGCAAGAGACTGAGGTAAAATCCTACCAAAGGGCAAAGAGCAAGTAACAGAAAGCTGTGACAAAACAGAAGTCTAGTAACCCACCACCATGAAACAGAAAGCGACTGGGACTCCTAAATTCTCCAGGGACAGAACGTGCTAGGCTGATAAACTCTTAACAACATTCTTAATTTACCAGTATTTACCTGGATGAGCTGACTCTGACATCAACAACTGTGAGATCATTTTTAGCAAAAAATTCCCTGAGACCAGTTTTTAGTTCAGCAGCAGTTTTGTTGAAATTCAGGTTTCCAACAAACAGTTTGAAAGTTACAGGTGGTTCAGCTGCCATACAAAAAGGTAAAACAAGAATAACAACACACACAAGTCAAATAAGCAGTTCAGAAAGAATGATGCTAAAAGAAAAGTCATTAAAGACTGGTGTATTATAACACCAAGCTGCAATTAAAATCCCTGGTCATCATTTAAGATTTGATTTTCACCAAGATAAAACTCTCTGTGTCCCTTATATTTTAAACACGGGAAAGAGCCTTGGCCAGTGTTCTCAGTGATTAGAGCATTGGCTTGCACACATGAAGGTCTCAGGTTGGGTTCCCAGTCAAATGCACATACCTGGGTTGCAGATTCCATACCCACCCCTGGTCTCTTATGAGGGAGGCAATTAATCAGTGTGTGTCTCTTTCCTCCTCCCTCCTTCTCTCCCTCCCTTTCACTCTCTCTAAACAGCAATGGAAAAAATATCCTTGGGTGAGAATTAACAAAACAACAAAGCAAATAAGTTACCTTCTAATTTCTGTTTTTTGGTTTCAGGGGAAGCCTTCTGTTTGGCCATTTTCTTCTTCTGTTTATCAGGTGTTTTTTTAATATGATCTGTGAACAAAAGCCAAAATATTGTATTTTTACTGATCTGTCTGCGCCACTAGTAAGTAAACTGGAAGCTCTTACACTCTCCACAAATATATGTGTTACGCCTATTCTTTACAAGACACATGGATTAGGTCTGATCAAAATACTTTTAAAAGCATTTATAAATTAATTAGAAAGTTCTTCAAGTTCCTAACAGAAATCCAACAGTCCCTGCCCAAGGACTTCCCTTAGAACTAGAAATCGCTGATAATGGCCACCATTTAACTTAATTTTTACTTAATTTGGGTCATTCTGACCCTCCTCCTCCTCATAGCCTTTGTTATCACAGTGGTTGTCCTGCTCATCCTTCTCAACCCCTACAGGAAAGGCTTTTCTTCCTCTGTGTCCCTCTGGACCACGTAGAATTCACAGCTTCTTTTCAGAATCTAAATGAAAACCCACCCAATCAATTCCTAACACATATTCAAGTACCTCCTTTAAATAAAACTCATACCAATACACTTTAGAATCTATCTCAATTACCTTCCTCTTCTTCCAACTCCACCTCCATCTCAACTTCATCTTTATCCTCTTTGTCATCATTCTCTTTGTCTTCATTTTCTGTGCTCTTGGCCTTCACGGGAACAGCTTTTACAGGAGCTTTCTTGCCTTTGGCTGGTGCAATCTCCAGAGGTTCTTCTTCAGAGTCTGAAAGAGATTCTACCTAGTCAAAAACTCAAGAGAATTATTCCCAAACCAACACAGTTCCAGATAAATCTAAAGGAAAACATAAATAGTACAATATATGCTTAGTAGTTATAGCAAGAAGTTTAACAGATTCCTTGGAAGTGAAACCCTATATTATGAAAACTACTCATAGAATGTGCTGTGCTAAACATTTTATCAGGGGCAGGCAATCATTCATGGCTACCACCCTAGTACATAACCAGCACAGAGAATCCCTGGGAGGATTTTTATCTACCCCCATGGTGTCATGGAAGGAGTATGTTTACAAGTTGCCCACCCATCCCACAATCTCACCCCTAATGTACCTTGCAAACAAGAGCCCAAGGACTACCCGTAGAACGCCTTACCATCTTCTTTGTCATCATCCAAGAAAAGGGCAGCAGCAGCAGCTTTCATCACTGCTGGCTCAAATTCATCCTCATCTTCCTCATCACTATCTTCCTTCTTGGCATTCCTTGCTCCCTTGTCTGGGGTGGCTGCTTCCTTCTTACCAGGAGTTGCTATGGCTTTGGCTGGTGTAATTGCTGCCTCTTTGCCAGGATTGACAACTGTAAGTTTTTCTGTTGGAGAAAACATCACCTTCTTTCCTGGAGTTGTAGTAGCCTTCTTTCTTTTTTTCTGAGGAATGATAACCTCAAAATTAAGTAAAAACAAACATGAGTCACTCAGCCGATGTGGCTCAGTTGTTGAGCATTAACCTACAAACCAGGAGGTCACAGTTTGATTCCAGGTCAGGACATATGCCCGGGCTGTGGGCTCAATCCCTAGTGGGAGGCATGCAGGAAGAAGTCGATCAATGATTCTCTCTGATTATTTGTTTCTATGTCACTCTCCTTCTCCCTTCCTCTCTGAAATCAGTAAAAATATATTTTAAAACAAATAAACAAACATGAGTCTATTTTCAAACTCAAAAAGGGAGTACTGGTCCCTCATAAATGAGCACTAAATTCTGGCACTGCCTTCTGGTTCAAGACCACATGCATTAGATATATGCTAGCATGTTAAACTATAGCATCATGTTACATGTCCTTCTCTATACCTGTGCAGTCACAATCCTCATTTTTAGGAAAAATGTCTAATCATAATGAACCCTTCAAATACCCCTGGACCCACACCTGTTAGTTTCTATACCTCATACTCTAAGCACTTTAGCTTGGAAGCAGCACACCCTAAAGCATTCTGAAAATAGACTGTCTAAATCCCATCTGCTACTGTGTGGCTCTAGGAGAGTTTTTAAAAATATATTTTTATTGATTTCATAGAGGAAGGGAGAGGGAGAGGAAATATCAATGAGAGAGAATCATTGATCAGCAGACTCTTGCATGCCCCCTACTGGGGATCAAACCCACAACCTGGGCATGTGCCCTTGACCGGAACTGAAGTCTGCAAGCTGATGCTCTATCCACTAAGCCAAACTAGTTAGGAATAGGAGAGATTTTATTTATTTTTTAAAATATATTTTATTGATTTTTTACAGAGAGGGAGAAGGATAGAGAGCTAGAAACATTGATGAGAGAGAAACATCGATCAGCTGCCTCCTGCACACCCCTCACAGGGGATGTGCCCACAACAAAGGTACATGCCCTTGACCAGAATCAAACCTGGGACCCTTCAGTTTGCCAAACTGGTTTTGGCAGGAGAGATTTTTTTTTAAGCCTCACCTTTTTTTTCTCTTCTGAAAATGATAACCAACGTTACATGTTGTTTTGAGGATTATGAATTAATTTCTGTAACTAAGAGCTCTGTTAAGTGTTATTAAATCATTTGGGGAGGTGGTATAAAGTGCATGAAAGCTCAGTCTTAGGACCAGAGATAAAATGAGTATCAAACAGGCTGGACAGTCCTTGCAAATTTAATATAAATTAGAGTGGGCAGTTAGCTTGATAAAAGCATTATCTACATTCAAGTCACACTCAAAGCTACTTTTTGCTGACCACCAGTTTTATCAAGTTATGTGTTAAAACTTGTAGCCAGGAGTACAAAAGTGTCATTGTCAGCACAAAGGGAGGTGGTGTTCCTCACTACACAATGACTAGTGTTACAAAACTTGTACAGAGACCTGCCCAGCCGGTGTAGCTCTGTGGCTGAGTGTCACCCTATGAACCAGGTCACAATTCCATTTCCAGTCAAGGCACATGCTCCAATTGTGGACTTGATCCCCAGTAGGGGTATAGGAGACAGCCAATCAAAGATTCTGTCATTGATGTTTCTATGTCTGCCCCTCTCCTTTCCTCTCTGGGAAAAAAAAGAAAGAAAAAAAAAGAGATATATATATATATATCTATATATATCAATATATATATATATATATATATATATATATATATATATATATATACACACACACACACACACACACACACACACACACACAGTATATGTTAAAAAACAGAGACCTGCTTGGCAGCTAGGAAAGGAATCTGGTAAGGCTAACCTCAGACCTGAATATAATGCTCAGCACTGCCACACACAAGACAGCTAACTGTTCAGGCTGTTTCCTCATCTAGCATGTGGGGCTACCATATTCAAATTGGAAAAATGTTGTTTTGTTTTTTAAATATATTTTGATTTTTTTACAGAGAGGAAGGGAGAGAGACAGAGAGCTAGAAACGTTGATGAGAGAGAAACATTGACCAGCTGCCTCTTGCATGCCCTTGACCGGAATCGAATCTGGGACCTTTCAGTCCACAGACTGATGCTCTACTGCTGAGCCAAACCGGTTTCGGCTGGAAAAATGTTTTAATACATCATCACACTAAGCCCTGTAGAAGGCACAAAAGGAGGAGGTTCCAGATCTTTTCTCTCAATCTCATCCAAATACCTACCCTTATGGTATTTTGACAGGTCAACGAAGAGCTTGCAAAACACTCAACCATTACAACAGGGCATATATGAAGGAATACAATCTTCCCTTTGCCAGTATTTTCAGACATACACCGTGATTGTATAGGACTCTGCATTAAATTGTACATAATTACCTCTTCTCCACTGCTTTCATCTCCTCCATCTGACATTTCCTCATCTTCACTACCTTCTTCTACCTCCTTTGGAGAAGAAGCCATTTTCTTGGGATCACCTTTTTACTAGCCTAAGATGGACAATTATTAGCACATTACACCTCTCACATTTCAAGCCACCCACATTTTGCCTGCAGTCATCTTTCTTTCTCAGAATCCACTTTTCATTCTGTTAAACATTACAAATAAGATAAACCAATCTTATGTAAAAATATAATTTTAGCCCTTGCTTGTTTGGCTCAGTGGCTAGAACATTGGCCTGGGGATTGAAGGGTCCCAGGTTCAATTTTGGTCAAGGGCATGTATCTCAGTTGCAGGGCCTGGGCCTTGGTTTGGAGCCATGCAGGAGGCAACCAATGGCTGTGTTTCTCTCACATTGGTTTTTCTGTCTTTCCCTCTCTTTAAAAATTAATGGAGCCAAAACCGGTTTGGCTCAATGGATAGAGCGTTGGCTTGGGGACTGAAAGGTCCCGGGTTCAATTCCGGCCAAGGGCATGTACCTTGGTTGCGGGCATATCCCCAGTAGGGGGTGTTCAAGAGGCAGCTGATTGATGACTCTCTCATCGATGTTTCTAACTCTCTCTCTCTCCTCCTCTCTGTATAAAATCAATAAAATATATTTTAAAAAAATAAATTAAAATTAAAATTAATGGAAAAATATCCTTGTGTGATGACTAAAAATAAAATAAAAAAAACAATTTCAAATAAATGATCTCCCTCCTCCTATTGCCTTCATTTAGCACACCTGTTTTAAAAATTATACTTCCAGCCCTAGGTGGTTTGCCTCAGTGGATAGAGCCTCGGGTCCTCGATGGGATTCCCAGTCAGGGCACATGCCTGGGTTACAACCTCCCATCCCCAGTGGGGCCGTGCAGGAGGCACCTGACCAGTGTTTCTCTCTCATTGATGTTTCTCTCTCTTTTCCTCTCTGAAGTCAATTAAAAGAAAAAAAGAAAAGAAAACCTTAAAAAAAAGTCTTCAGTAAATTCTGGCACCTTATTCCACCCCTCTCCTCTGAATTTAAATTAGGGCAATTTTAAAGAGCAACCATGTCTTAACTAGACTTCAAAAATGAAGAAATGAGGCTAGTCAATGAAGAAATGAGGCTAGTCCCCACCTCCTGGAACGACCTGCGTGGCCCGGCCCACGTGACGGGCCACCCAAGGCACGTGCCCCGCTCCCACCTGTTCCAGGGGTTTGGCCTCCTCCCCAGCTCAGCCCCGAAGTCTTCCCCCGCTGCATCAACCACCCGCAACACCTGCCGAAGCTCTTCACCTCGCTACCAAGTACCCAAAATCCCAAGTACCCAAAAAGCGCAAGACCTCCGCGCTAATCACGCGAGACTTTCCGCAGCATGACGCCAGGGATGGCGCGCAGACCCTCCTCCTCGCGGCGCCCTGCGCGCGTTCCTCGGGAAACGGGCCTCGACGTTCGAGGAAGGCCTCTTATCTTTGTGGGTAACAACGGAGGAGTGTGTGGCGCGTGAGGGCAGACGAGCCTAGAGGAACAGAACACGTGAAGGGGGCCGCTGGTACGGAAGCCTCTGGCGCGTACGTTTCGCGGCCAGCTCCAGTTCGAGCCTGAGACAAAAGATCATCTTTGGAAAGTCGACGTCTGTGCCTTCGTCACTCCATTTCAACCAACCGGAGTTTGCGCTCATTCCATGGGCCAATCGCGGGCGTCGTGGGGCGGGGCCTGGAGTGGGCTGGCCACGGCCGCCGGAAGAGAGGCTGGAGATTCCGTTTCTGGGTCGGGCGGGGGTGCGGGCGGAGGAATAGGGGTGGCGAGCAGGGGCCCTCTTTGTGCCAGGCCGGCGCAGACTCGGGGGTGGGCGCGCGGCTACCGAAGGGCCCCTCCGAGGCCTGTGCTCGCGGAGCCTGCGCCTTGGGACGGACGTTTTTGGCGCCGCGTGTGCCGATCTTGGGGGCTGTGGATGTTGGCCCTCCCTTTCCTGTTCCCGCTTGTGTCGGGATCCTGTCGACTGGGGCAGAGAGCCTCGACATTCCCGTCCCTCCACGCCCAGCCTCCCAGCTGCTGCTATGGAGAAAGGAATTCGCCCACGTTTCCCTGCTGATGAGACCTAAGTTCACAACGCCAGCGTGGGAGGCCCACCTTAGAAAACCCCCGGTCTTCAGGTGCTGAGAGCTGTTAATAAAGGCAGTCACGTTGATGGAGAAATATGTGAATCTTTATTGCAAACTTAAAAAACATTTTATTGTGAATATTTTCAAATATACATTAAGTAGAGAAAATTAAAAATTAATCCTCTATTACCCATCACCCAGCTTCAAAACTTAAATATTTTTAAAAACATATCTTTATTGATTTAAGAGAAGGGAGAAACATCAATTATGAGAATCATTGATTGGCTGCCTCCTGCACGCCCCCTACTGGGGACTGAGGGTGCAACCTAGGTCCACAGGCTGATGCTTTATCCACTGAGCCAAACCAACTTGGGCAAAACTTCAATATTTTTGCCATTCTTTTCTCAACTATTCCCTGCCCCACTTTTACCTTCTCACCCCTTTCCTTTCCCACTCCCCCTTCTCCTTTTTCACTTGAGTATGTTAATGTGAATCCCAAGCATCCTATCATTTTGCCTGTAAATACTTCATAGTGTACCTATACAGCAGTGGTTCTCAACCTTCCTAATGCCTCGACCCTTTAATACAGTTCCTCATGTTGTGGTGACCCCCCAACCATAAAATTATTTTCGTTGCTACTTCATTACTAATTTTGCTACTGCTATGAGTCGTAATGTAAATATCTGATATGCAGGATGTCTTAGGCGACCCCTGTGAAAGGATCGTTCGACCCCCAAAGGGGTCGCGACCCACAGGTTGAGAACCGCTGCTCTACAGGATATTGGCTTTGACATCTGTTCCTAAACAGCCCCAATTGTCCTGCTCTGCCCTGTGCAGGAACTTGAAAGAGGGTGAGGCCTGTGCTGAAGAGGTTTAGACTGTCAGAAGAATGTAAATGTTCCTAGGATCAAAATGCCTTAAATCTGGTCTCATCTTTCTCATTTCTTAAGAAAAAAAAAAAAAAGAGTTTTAAAAACAGTGAGAGAAATAATTCGAATGATTACTAAGTATTACAGACTCTTGTGTGGGGCTTTAAAAAAATAAATGAAAATCTCTGCTTATCTTAGATTTTTTAAAACTGTGGTAAATACACAGCAAAATTTATCTTAACCATTTAATCATACAGTTGAATAATGTTTGAGCATGTTCACATTGTTGTGCAACCAGAAGGGGGCATGGGAGGTGGTGCGTAGGAAGGTCAGGGAGGCAGAGGGGTGGGGTGGTGAGGGTGTACTGGAGACTTTAATTTCCGCCTTGGTAATCTGAGGGTGTCAGTGGGTTTCACTACAGCAGTGACTTACGCACACTCGCAGAAAATGTAGCTAAAGAGGCAGAAGGTGGCACTTGAACATCGGGGCCCCTTTCATTTTGCAGGCAGGGAGGGGATCAAGGCCTGGAAAGGTGAGGTGATATGCTTAATGCCACACAGCAAAGGTGGCCACGTCTCGCCTGGATCCCTGCCACCCTACAGTGCCACTAGTAGAGATCCCAGAACAGAATAAGCTGACTGGGCCAGGGAGGGGTCAGGTAGGAGGAGGGTCCCAGCGCAGGCCATGAGCGAGAAAGGGACAGAAAATGGGAGGAAAGGTAGAGCCTTGGGGAAACATTTTGGAAACTGGCAGGAGGGTGGCTGTGATGAAGGTGTGCTGTGCCAGTTCACTGGCTGTGATGTTCCTGCAGGGAAGGACTTTACGTGGAGGCCTCGGGGCCTAGAGGGTAATCTTATATCCCTTCTAGGACATGGTGGGGGCAGGAGTCACTGAGGTGCCTGCAGCGGGGACTGGGCATGAAGACATCACCGAAGAGGAGGGCAGGTGTGACTGCAGGTGGCCCTCTGGTGCCTCCAGGTGAAGCTGCTCTGGGGCTTCTCTATGGAGAGAGGGGTCAGTCTCTTGCTGTCCCTGAGCTGGGCCCTCAGCCAGAGGATGGGCCCTGCTGCCCAGGTAGCCCATGTCACACAGGGTGCTGCCCGTGGTCACCCTGCTGAGGCTGCGGGAGCTGTGACGTCGTCGGTGGCCACGGCACCAGCTTCCCAAGCACAGGGCCTCCCGGAAGGTGTCCTGGAAGCGGCTGGACATGAGGCTGTAGAGCACGGGGTTGACAGCTGAGCTGAGGTAGAAGAAGACGCCAGAGATGACATGTACGTACGAATAGGCCAGCATCAGGCAGTCGGTCCAGTGCGACACGAAGCTCCACATGAGACGGTCGATATGGAACGGGGCCCAGCAGATGCCAAACACCAGGACCAGCACAACTGTGGGGGCAGAGAAGGGAGTCTGGGTCTGCTCATTCTCACCTCCCCTCCTATTCCACAGGCTACCCATGCCACTGTCCATCTGGAAGTTTGCCTGCCCTGGCCACACCCCTATCAGAGAGGCTGCTCTCACTACTGTCACTGAGTGGGCAGTGGGTATGTGCACTGCCCCTGGGCACAGGCCACTGGGCCAGGCATGGACACTTGAGTCTGGCCCAGCTTGACTATCTCACCATGGAGCTTGAAACTAGGTGACTATAAGCTCTGGACACAAAGCCCCAGCGTGATGCAGAGTGTGCGGCTAAGGCCCATCCTGGACAATGCTTACTAATGAGGAAGCAGAGAGAAGCAGAAGAATGGGGCTCATGCTCAGACAGCAATAGATGGAGGTGAAAGGCAACATAAACACAAACACCTTTCTTGTCTGACTTGCCCCAGAGCCTTCCCAGCCCCAGCCACCAGCTCTCCAAGGCCCAGCTGAATATCTTGCCCTGTACTAACTGCCGTTGCTTGAGGTCCCATCCCCCACCATCCAGCAAAAAACAGGACAGGTGGGCAAAGTCTTCACTCTTTCTCCCCAGCTTCCTTCCAGCCCTAGTCTTAACCAGCCATGATCTTCTTGAGTCTCTGTCCCTGGGTCTGCCTTGATTTTTTTTTATATATATATATTTTAATTGATTTCAGAGAAGAAGGAAATGGGGGAGAGAGAAACATAAATGATGAGAGATAGTCATTGATTGGCTGCCTCCTGCACGCCCCCTACTGGGGATCAAGCCCACAACCGGGGCATGTGCCCTTGACCAGAATCGAACCCCAGACCCTTCAGTCCACAAGCCGACGCTGCTCAGTGGACACTCTATCCACTGAGCAAAACCAGCTAGGGCTGCCTTGATTTTTGATTCTTATTTCTTGTGTTTGTTTAGCTGACTATCTTTCCCCTGTAGTGTCAGCCCAGTGTGGTTTTGCTTGTAATCCCAGATTTCACTGTCCCCAGCACACAGCCTGCTGTTTAGTAGGCCTTCAGAAAGTGAAGGTGGAGAAGGGAGGGATGGAGGGAGAGAAGAAAGCCAGAGTCGAGGCCAGCAACCAAGGTGGCTTTAAGGAAACATCTTCCCACCCTCCTGCCCAGGGTGAAAACCATCCCAGCTGAGCAGACTCAGACCTGAACCCTGTGATCTGGAGGAAACAGGAGCAGGGGTGAAGGGTGGGCAGGGGCCAGTTGGTCTGTAGTAAAGGCTTCACAGTGCAGAGCTGGGAAGCAAGTAAGGAACTACAGGGGATGGCAAGTGGCACCACACTCTGGAACACCACACCCAGGGTGGGGGGAGGGAGGCTTCTCTCTGGGAACGGGGCAGTCCTCAGTTAGCTGGCTGTGATCCCATGGCTTTGACCAAGGCCTCACCAGCTTGTGCTGCCCTGGCTCACCCCACCTGATTCAGGCCCTGCAAGGTGGGATGAGATGGGCTGGAAATCAATGACTGTCTTAGTATCAGTTTGTCTTGCTTCCCCAGGGCCACAGTTTTTTACAAAAGAACCAAGTCTAGAGCACAGTAACATCTAGAATCTCAACCCAGCTGCATGCCTTGGCTGGCCCCAGTCCACACTTCTGCCCTGATTCTCCTATGCTCTGACCCTCACAAATACCCGTCCCGACAATCCTCTTTTAGACAATGATCACTGGTGTGGTCCCCAGGGAACTGCAAACATAGATGGAAGAAATTCATCATCTTGCATATGCAGATCCTCCCAGACCACCCCCCATATGGTTCTGTGGGGGTAGTCACTTCAGCAGCCTGTCATTCTGGCCTGAGGATGGGCCATGACCTAACCCCACCAATCAGAATCCTTCCCTGGAACTTTTCAATAGCCACTAAGGAAAGAGAACGGTTCCTCAGGAAAGCCTATGACCATGCCTTCCAGTGACGTAGGAAAGGACAGAGCCAAGATGTGTTTAGGGCCGAAACCAGTTTGGCTCAGTGGTAGAGCATCGGTCTGCAGACTGAAAAAGGTCCCAGGTTTGATTCTGGTCAGGGGCATGTGCCTGGGTTGCGGGCACATCCCCGGTGGGGGGTGTGCAGGAGGCAGCTGGTCGATGTTTCTCTCTCATTAACGTTTCTAGCTCTCTATCTCTCTCCCTTCCTCTCTGTAAAAAAAATCAATAAAATAAAAAAATAAAATAAAATAAAGATGTGTTTAGGAGCCAAGATGAGAGACCTGGAGAGTCCAGATGACATGAACAACTCTGTTATCCTGGAGCCCAGCCATGTTGCCTGCCCTGACTGTGGCTTGGGCCCGAGAGCCAGGGCTGGCTTCATGTGTGTGCCACCTGTGCATTTGCACAGGGCCCGAGTTTAAAATGGTTCAATGCTCTTCTGTTGCTATCCTGACCATCTTACTTTTTAAACAAGAAACCTGAATTTTCATTTTGTACCGCACCCTGCAAATGATGTAGCTGATCCTGCCAGAAGCCATTAGCATTTGCCTTTGGTGTTAGTTTCTAAAACAGTAAGCATGCATGCACTTGTGTATGTGCACCTGTGCGTACACGCACTCGGAGGGGTATGTGATTCCAAGCCTTACCCTCATAAACTCGATGCAGCCCCTCCTTCCAGGCCCTGGAAGCCCCAGACTCATACCCACCATCTCCATCAGCCCCCGTTCCCAGCAGCAACACTTACACAGCATCTTGGTCACCTGCATCCGACCCTTATCCTGTAGTTGCTGGACCCTGCTCTTGCTCCCCTGCCTTAGCAGCAGCAGCTTCTCACTCCGCAGCTGCAGCCCGATGAGCAGGTAGAGTACGCTGATGATGGCCATGGGCAGGCAGAAGAAGAGCAGAGCTGTGATCTGCATGAGTAGGTTGTAGGAGGCCCTTGAGCTGACCACCATACACATAGCCGAGTCGGGCACTATACCCCGGCAGGGCACATCCAGCAGCTTGATGCCATGCAGGCTGGTGTTGGGCAGAGAGCAGAGCACAGCAAGGCTCCAAATAGCCCCGAGCACCCGGCGAACATGGGCTTGGGTCATCACAGACCTGGCCTGCAGTGGGTGCACCACGGCCATGTAGCGCTCCACACTCAGGGCAGTGACATTGAGCACAGAGGCCAGGCAGACTGTCTCAAAGAGCAGTGTGCGGAAGTAGCAGCCACCAGCGCCCAGCAGGAAGGGGTAGTTACACCACTTCTCATAGAGCTCCAGGGGCATGCCTAGGAGCAGCACCAGCAGGTCTGATACGGCCAGGCTGAAAAGGTAGTAGTGGGTGGGCGTGCGCATGGCCTTGTAGCAAAGGATGACCATGCAGGTTAGCCCGTTGCCCACGGTGCCCACCACAAAGATCAACAGGTACGTGACACAAATGGGTAGTAACAGATCCGTCTTCTGGGGCCCCAGATACTTGAGTCTCAGCTCCTGATCAGTCAGGTTCAAATCCTCAGGTTCAAAGGGCTCCCGCGCCCCACTGCCATTGCAGAGCACCGGGCTCCTTGCACCCCTGGGGGACACATCTCCAGGGAAGATGGAACAATTGAGGCAGAAAGGAACCTGTGGGACAGAATACAGAGACACTCAGAAAAGTCACTTAGGGAACCCTGGCTCTGTTGTAACTCATTAAACCAAAGGTGCCATCATTTATGTACTGCTGAGAAAGAAGTCTGTCTTCCATTGTAAGATGCATTACAACTTCAGAGATGTAAAAATGTACATCTTACCCTAGCCGGTTTGGCTCAGCAGTTAGAGCGTCACCCATGGACTGAAAGGTCTCAGGTTCAATTCCGGTCAAGGGCACGTATCTCTGTTGCAGACTCGATCCCCGAAGCAAGCAATTGATGTGTCTCTCTCACATCAATGTTTCTCTCTGTGTCTCTCCCCCTTTCTTCCACTCTCTCTCTTAAAAAATAAAAAATAAGTAAATAAAAAATAAATAAATCAATGGAAAAAATAACCTTGGGTGAGGATTAATAAAAATTAAATAAATAAAAGTACATCTTCAAAATGATAAAGCCCTAGCTGGTGTGGCTCAGTTGGTTGAGAGTTGTTCCATGACCCGCCAGTTTGATTCCCAATCACAGGGCACATACCCAGATTATGGATTTGATTCCTGTTGGGATGTGTACGGAAGGCAACCGATTGATGTTCCTCTCTCTCTAAAATCAATAAACATATTTTTACAAAAGATAAAAAGTGGACTTCAATTTGAAATGTCTCAATCTATTGAAACCTTGACTAAATGATGAATCCTTTTGAGCATGGGCTTTGCCATCGGCAGTTTTCCCTTGAATCTCTCCCCTTTCAAGCCGCAGACTATGAGACAGGTACTCAGTTTGGGCATCTGTAAAATGGGCGATGTGCGGGTATCACATGGTCTTGAAGAACAAGGACTCAGTAGGCAACTGCTTGGGTTCAAATCCAGCCTCCCCAGCCCCAGGCTGTGTGACCAATTTTCTGGTAACCTCTCTGCAGCTATTTCCTTATTAGGGGGATTGAGAGAGTTTAATCCATGAAAAAGGCCTGCCTGACACATGGACGGGTCAGGTTTATCAGCATCCGACTGAGGGGACTGAGTGACAGAGGGCGCTGAGTCACTGAGAGGACTCAGGGCTAACAGATGGCAACGCTGATCCAAAAGTTAGTTCTTTATTGTAATCCTCACTGAAGGAGTGAGGATATTTTTCCCATTGATTTTTAGAGAGAGTGAAAGGGAGAGGAGAAAGAGAGAGAGAGAGAGAGAGAGAGAGAGAGAGAGAGAGAGAGAGAGAGAGAGAGAGAGAGATTGGTTGCCTCCCACACCTGACCGGGGTGGGAGTGGGTGGTGGGGATCAAACCTGCAACCTAGGTACCTGCTCTTGACTGAAAATCGAATCTGAGACCCTCTGGTGAATAGGCTGACATTCTAACCACTAAGCAATGCTGGCCATAGCCAAGAGTTCATTCTTGTTTCTGTTTTCCATCACCTAAACGATTAGAAGTAGAAACATTTGACACCCTTAACACTGCCAGTTCTAGGGTTCCCTCTCCTCTCTCGGACTGCCCGTCTCTGCCAGTCCACCATATACAGTGATTAAGAACCAAGGCCATGGTGTTAAACAACTGTCCTGGGATCAAATGTTACCTCCCCTTACTGTGCCTCCGTGTCCTCATCTGTGAAATGGGGGTGTTGATAGAGAGAGCCTACCTTATATTTATAGTTTCTGTGAAGATTAAATGAGAGTCTACACAAAGTTCTCAGGAGTGCACCTGGTACATTCTGGGAGCTCTGTTTCAGTGCCCAGTAAATGACCCTGCTCCTCACATGGAAAGGAAAGGCAGTCCCCCAGACTGTCCTCCGGAGCCTGCTCTCCAGGCTCACCCCACCATCAACCCTCCCCGCCAGCAACTGGATTTTCAGGCTGGTTCCCGGACCTTCTCCCGATTCCTTCAGCGCCATTCCTCTCTTCAGTCCTGGGCTTGGGGCCTCAGGTAGCCCACCTACCCCCCGCAGCCACCTTTCAACTACTTCCTTTTCCAGGTGCTTTGCTCTCCCAGACCCAAGCATCTTCTTCCTTCCTCTCCTCTCTTCTCCTCTCTTCTCTCCCTCTCCACTTCCTCTCCTCTCCTTTCTTTCCTTTCTCTGTTTTCTTCTTCTTCTTCTTTCTTTCTTTATTTATTTTTACTCCAGTGAGATAGTAAACTGGGTCATAGGGTCCCCCAGTCACTCTTAATCAGGGTATCTTCCTCCTCCCAAATAGAATCCCACAGCCTCCCTACCCCTCCCACACATAATCCCCGCATCTTGGGATCCTGGCGCGTTTTCATCCAACTCAAGCGCAGCCTCTGCCTCGGCTACCCGGCTGGTCGGGAGGCGGGGGATGAGCTGGATCAGCGCAGCGCAGACCCAGCATCCAGGGAGGCTCCCTGCACCCCTGGGGAGGGTCGCCCCGCGGCGCGCTGCCTCAACAAGACAAATCACCCGCGAGTCCCTCGGAGATGGGGCGCCCCAACCGGACCCTCAGACCTCTTCCACCCGGAGGACCCAGTGCGCGCTCCTCCCGCCTCTTCTTACCCACGCCCCACGCCCGGTCCAGCCACAGCGCTCTTGCCCGCCCCGGCATCCCGCTCACCTACCATGCCGTCGGCGGCCGTGAGCTCCAGCGGCGGGAGCGCACCCGACCGGCAGCTGCGGCGCCAGGAGAGAGCGGATGGGCAGAATGGACAACCGTGGGCGGCCGGCCCCACAGCCCGCCCCACCGCCCCGCCTGGCGGTGGCCGGGGTGCCCGGTCCAGGACCGCCACCAGAGGGCAGGACCGCCCCCCTCCCCTCCCCGCAGCCCGCCCGCCCCGCCTCTGATTCCAGACACCCTCTTCTGGGGCCACCCACACACCCACCTTAACCACATCATTGTGTTCTCAAGCGTTTGACAGGGGCTTCCAGGAGCACCTTTATCTCTCTGAACCTCACAACAACCCGCTTTTCAGAGAGACGAAGTCTGGGTGATGTGGGTCTCACACGCTGTCCGTGCTGACTTTTAGCGTAACTCCTTACTCGGGTGTCCCTCCAGCCCACCGCCTCCTACCCCACATTTCAGAGGAGCCTCCAAGGACATCCCACTGGCCCCTCGGGAGTCAATGAGACTCCAAGGGTCCCCTCCTGCCTCCCAGGCTTCACACCAGCCTCTTTCCTCTTTCTTCATTCCCTGCCCCAGGACAGCAGTCTCCATCCTTCTCCCTTGCGGTCCTCCAGCCCGAGTCCAGGTCCTCGGTCCTCCCAGGATTACTGCAGGAACTCCCTTCTCCCTCCAATCTGCTCCCACATCCCAGTTTTCCTGAACCCCCAACGCAGCCATTCTGCTCGAAACCTTCTGTAGGTCCTTCCTTCTGAAAAAGAACACAAGTCTAACCTGATGTTGGACCTCCCTGGCTCCCACTTGCCTTCCTGGGCCCCTCACTAAATCCTGTCACCCTCAATACCCTCCCACTCAGATGTCCCCCAGGCCCCTCTCATCTGATTGCAGGATGTCCACAGGGAAGGAGGGAACTGTCGGCAGGGAGGAACCATGAATGCCGGGACCCCAGCCTCCTCCTGCTCCCACAAACTGGACACGTGTAAACCCAGCAAGGAGCACCTTCCCTGCTCGCTCCCTCCTCTGACCAGCTCCTGAGCTGGCAGTTATTTCAGCTAAAGAGCATAACATCAGGAACTGGCAAAGGGGCCTAGAAATGTGGGCCTCACAGGCTAACACACTAGCTCCTGGGCCTCCTCTCAGGGTCTGATTCACTTGGTCTGGGCGAGGTCAGGGATGCCTTCCTGAGAGCCCCAAGCCCCAGAATCACACACTTTGAGAAGCACTGGGAGGGGTTAAGGACAAAGCCCCGGACCCAGAAAGGGTGCCGTTGAGCTGTGGGAACTGAAGGAAACTCAGCCCTCTGTTCCGTAGAATGTACTAACCACTGTTATCACTACTGTGAGCATGCAATGAGATGGAGCGTGAAGATTATTAGCACGGGGCTGGCATGTGGTCAGCACTCAAGAAAGTTGGGTGGGATTATCTCCATTTAGTGACAACTGGAAACAAAGACCTCTTCCCCCAGATTTTCTCAGGCCTGCCCCCCAGCCCCATGAGACTGGTCTTGGAAACTGGGAGTTAGGCCCTCTCAGAGCCTCCGTCAGCCTGCCTTCCCAGGAACTGCACATATAAACATAGCTCTAGGCACAGGGAGGTTTCAGGCATGCCAGGGCAGATGATCTCCAATTCCTGGGAGTAAAGGATTCTGGGATTTACCAGAGAGTTAACTACCAAGCCCCAGATGAGGAAGTCCAGTGTACCCTTTAAGACCAGGGCTGCAAAAATTTATAACAATAAAAGCCTAACATGCTAATTAGACCAGACAGCCAAATGACCTTCCAAATGACATCATTCCAGAGTCCTTCTGGATGAAGCTGCTGCGGCGGGGGCCAAGGCAGAGGTAGTTAGGGGTAATCAGATAGGCAGGCAGAGAAGTTAGGGGAGATCAGTCAGGCAGGCAGAGTGGTTAGGGGCGATCAGATAGGCAGGCGAGCAGTTAGGAGCCAGCAGTCCCAGATTGTGAGAGGGTGCAGGCTGGGCTGAGGGATCTCCCCCCCCCCCCCCCCCCGCACTGTCCTTCCCCCTACCCCCCATGTGCACGGATTTCATACACCCGGTCTCTAGTGAATAAGTAAAATAAAATAAGTCTAGGGCTGCTATCCTATCAAATGAGCAATGAGGGTCAAGGCAGCATGGCTGGGAAACATGGGGTCACAGACAACACTTAGCATGTGATTAGTGTTGTCGACCCCGCCCCCATCACTGGAGCACACACACCCACACTCACACACCACTTTGACTACTTTGCACTAACTCTGAGTGTCCTGAAACTCATTGTAGACCCTTTGGAAGTGCTCAGAGCCCAGGAAACGATGGAGACGGCCCTCTTCTCTACCTCACAGAAGCAGAAGGGGTCCCACTGGTCGGGAATTCCTACAGCTGGCTGCATCCCTCACAGCATCAGCAGCCATCAGAGACCACGTGGAGCTAAAGGGGGCCCCCTAAAGGAGAAGCCCCGGGGCCATTCATGGTTATAGCACTGTCCAGAGGGCCCTGTGTGTTCTGGCCTCTGGGCCCGAGCTCAAGACCACCATAGCAGCATGTCCCATTAGAACCCGCTGACACCTGCTGCCTCCCTACTCTGTCCTCAGGTGGCTTCCCCAGAGCCACACCCATGGTGGGGGGGGGAAACACTCACAGGGCAGGGGCTTGGAGTAAACACATCCCAGGTTTTCTGGGTGTATACCTCAATCTCCTGGGCTGGTGGGCATCTACTCAGACTAAGGGCCAGCTCCCCATGCAGCAAATCTGCCACGGGAGGGCTGCTGGGACCTCCCGGAGCAGTTTGGGGTACCTCCCAGGTGCCAGAGCAGACTGCACTAGCCAGACAGCTTCTCCTCACCCTGCTGACTCCTGTACTCCCCAGGGAGCAGTGTTGGTACCCAATTTGCGCTGGAATATTTGGTAAAAGAGTTCCCTAGTTGGGGCTTCGTGCCCTTCAAGGGATCACAGTGTGGGGGTGCAGCTGAGATGAGTTCCCAGAGACCGAAGTTTTATTATTTTCATTCTTGGAAGACAGAGACATTGATTTGATCTTCCACTTATTTATGAATTCATCGGTTGTGTTTTACATGTGCCCTGACCAGATTAAGCCCTTAACCTTGACGTATTGAGATGACACTCTAACTAACCGAGCCACCAGGCCCAGGCTGGATAGTTTTCATATAAACGAGAATAGGTGCAAGTCTCAGAAACTTGGTACATTTCTGAACAAAAGGAAGTGATTGTTAATCTTTTTCTTCAAGGCAGTGAGACAAAAATAACCTAAAGGTTTCTCTATCTCCTGGGAAGAGGGGGTTTAGAGAGAGAATCTGAAGGCTATGATTGGTGGTCAGGCCCATTTGTATACAGTTGCCGGCACTCCTTGTCCTCCTGTGGGTGATTCATTAGGATCATGCCTTCTGGCAACTCATGTTCCCAGAAAGCTTCCTTCACATGACGTGCCACTATACTTCACATTTATACTTTGGTATTACACTCTTGTAGACTTGCTCTCTCATAAGTGACATGTAAATAGTTTTCCACTCCCCTCCCTCTCCAGTGCCTATGGGTTCTCTCCTCTCTCTCTCATTTTTTGGTCCAGTACATTTTGTTTCTGTATATGACTCTGTTTTTTGAATCCACATCTCTCCTCCGTAGTACTTCTTAAATAAATGTTTACATTAGAAAAAAACAAAACTCTCGAGTCTGTTTGGGTGGAGGCGTCATAAACAACATTGGGATGAGCAGCTTGAACTGAGCAGGCCTTTATTAGGCCAAGACCGTTCTGTCAGACCATTCCGTGGGGCCCAACCTCAAAGGGCCCCACCCTGCTCCAGGCCGCTCTTTCTTCCGAGCAGGGAGGGGGCAAAGGCCTCCTCTGTGGTGAGGGGGAGCGTCTGCAGCCAGAGTGAGGATAGGTAGTGTGACTGTCCCCTCTCCCACCTCAGCTTCCTCATCTGTAGCACGGGGTCCTGTATCCTCCTCGCAGCCTCGATAAGAGGGGAACCAGCTGAGGTGGGTCCGGCGGTGGGCCCTGGATCCGTGTGTAGCCCTCGGCCCAGCCTCTCTAGGGGCGTCAGATTCTGATGTTGACAGCGGTTTTCCCTCGTGGGTAGACTAGAGTGGGGAGAGGGAAGGTAAATGCTTTTTGTTTTCAGTTAAAATTATTTTCAACAGTCAGCATGTGTTCCTTCTGTAATAATTACATGTGTAAGTTCATAGTTTCTTCATTTTAAAAGGCAGTTTCTTGTTTAATTCCGGTGGCTTGTCCCTGGACAGCCCTTTCTTCAGATCATCCACACGGTCAGGCTTTGTCTGGGCAGAACCCTTCCGAGGGAGGCGTGGGAAAACTTGGACACAGAGGTGTGTCACTGTCACCTCCAGCCAGCCACATGCCCTTGTGCACCCAAGGCCCCTCCATATGGCTGCCATTTTTTTATATATCAGCTCCAACATCTAGGAAACCTGATTTTTTTAAAAAATATACTTTATTGATTTTTCTCAGAGAGGAAGGGAGAGAGGGAGAGAGTTAGAAACATGGATGAGAGAGAAACATCGATCAGCTGCCTCCTGCACACTCCCCACTGGGGATGTGCCCGCAACCAAGGTACATGCCCTTGACCAGAATAGAACCTGGGACCCCTCAGTCCACAGGCCAACGATCTATTAACTGAGCCAAACCGGTTTCGGCATGGCTGCAGTTTTTGTTACCTGATTATTAGACTCTGTGCTGTGTCACCCCTACCACACACCTAGGACCCCCAGGCCCAGTGTGAGGAGGGAAGGGCCACACAAAACCCACTTCCCTCCCAGATCCTGGCTGCCAGGCCCAGCATGGGTTCTTCCTGGTTGAGACCTCTGGCCAGGCAGTTGAGCCCATATTACGTTCCCTGTGTGACCCCTTTGTGGGGGCAGTACCCCACCCCCAACAGTGCAGTTCTGTGGGCACTAACCAGACCTCAATATTGTTTCAGTACACCCCCAAAGAGGGCACCCTCCTCTCATTTCTCAGAGAAGGGAGGGCAGCTGGCACCCACTCCCCCTGCAAAGCCCTGCTCTTGGCCTACTGACTGACCACACACACCATGAATAGCCTAAGACAGCACAGCCCTGGCTGCATCCCCCTCTGCCC